AATGCCGCCTAACCCTAGAGCGTTGATCCCTTGGCATGCGGTGTCAAATGAACACGCTCTGAGAAGCTGTGTTCCCACACTCGGCATCCTTAGAGGAGATTAGTGATGTACAGCGCAGTGGGAATGAACCGACGTGGATACACTCCATAGGTACACGGCCGGCACTGCGCTCGCGGACACATGCAGCCAGGAGGCTTAACCCCGTGAGCAGAACCCAGAGGAAAGTTCGGGAAGGACGCAATGCTGCCAGCTCCTTTCAGAGGCTCTGTGGGTTATCCCTGAAGACTGAACCATTGAAATCAAACCTCGAGATGTTCAGGAAAGGTTCCGTGAGATGCACTGAGAGGAGGCACAGAGGCTGGGTGCCCAGAATGAAGCTTCTCTGCCCTTCCCAGGGGATGGGCTGAAACTACTTCTCCCAAAGCTGTTCCTCAGCAAGAATCCTGCCCTGGAGAGATGCCCAGAACAGACAGTCCCAGGGTGGGGGTGGATGGAGGGAAACCACACCAGGGCTCGCTCATGGCTTCTTCTGTGGGGTAAAGGAATTCTGGGGTAAAGGAATCCCTCTGGCATTGGATGGTTGAGACAATGGCACAGGAGGGGACAACCAGCAAAGCAAAGGAAGCCATCCAGAGGTGCCTCCCACGGTGCCCAGAGAAGAGCCAGCTTCGTTCTCCCCATCTCCTCCCTGGCTGCTGGCTATAATTCCTCCACAGAGACTTCACCCCCAAACACTCTTCCTGTGCTTGCACTGTGACTGCTTTTCCCCCAGGACCTCTCCCAAGACGTGCGAGGTTCCTTCCATGGCAAACACACAGGTGGATCTAGAAACAAAATGTCCATTTTTCCACCCTGGAGGATTTTCCTCCATGTTGGGCTCCAATGAGAAAGAAACATAAGGGGTCACATGATAGCATGGTCCCACATGGGAGGGATCCTGTGTTCACGTCCCGAGACCCACGAAGCATGCTAGGTGTACATACGTACCCATGACCAGGCCAGCTGGGACTGGGGTGGATCCCAACATGGGGATCCTGATGGGGATACCCCCTCACATCATCTAGATCTTTCTCTCATGGACAAAATAAATACACTTTTAAAAGGAACGAAGGAAGAGGAGGAGGAAGAAAGAAAGGAATGTGAAATGCAGCCAAGGCAGTGGGGCAGGACCTCACCTGGATGTCCTTTATCATGATGTTGTAAGCAAGGCCGTGAGAATCCAGGTAAGCTTTGACATCTCTAAGCTCAGAGAAAGGAACTCTCATGTCCACAGGGAGACTGGGCCTGGCGGGGCCACGCCAGAAGTCCACCTGGTTCACAAGAGAAAGGAAGACAGTGCGTCTCTTGCACGTCCCTCTGTATATCCTGTCGGCCTCCTGGGAGGCCAGGTGATTGCCTCTTACACACTTAATGAGGCTCCAGCTCCACAGTGAAAACTCGAGGCTGAGCAGAGAGGAAACAAGGAAGTTTCTTTCCCTAATTTGAAGCATCTCAGTTACATTGTAACTTCGCCTTAAGGAGTTCCTAAAGGTGACGTTAACATGGACCAGAACCCTGGTCAGAAGAAGAAGACATCATCCAGACGTCATCCAAATCCCAGGAGAAGCCTCGTCGAGATCCCCACATCATCCTAATGCTAGGTCTATTTTTCAAATGTGAAATGGAAAGTATTATCATAAAGTGTTTTGAGTCCTGGTCCACAGAGACCCTCATACAAACAGGACGAAGGTCAGTGGGCCACGTCTAGAAATGTCAAGTTGTTTCACCAGTTTTCAAACAAAATTCCTCTCTCAGAACAGCTGGAGAAATGTTTTCCATTGTAAAAAGTTGCAGAGAATAAATGTTCTCTGAAATAAACTCAGGCTAACAGGGACAAACTCAAATAAGACCCAGGTTTTGCCAAGTTAAGACATTTCAACTGGGAAGCAGACGTGCCCAGTCTCCGTGTGACGTGGCATTCCAGAGACACCCTCTATGTGGCTTTAGGAAATTCTGTCCAGTTTCAGAGTAGCCTCCCTGACAGGGTGCACTTGGCAGCCCTCCCATCCAGGACAGAAGGGAACACAAAGGAGCCCCAAACTAAAAAGGCCATCCAACCTCTGGGCAAGTGTCCCCAACTTTACTTGAAGAGGAGCACATTGCATTTATCCACCATTCTGTGATCTCTGGCAGAACATCAAGAGGGCAAGTTTGGGAAGGCGGATGGTCAGGATGGGAGCCGACTATGTGAACCACTACGTGTTGGGGGCGGAGGTCCCCAAACCCAGAGGAATCCTCACCTTTTGTGGCTTCAGGCCCTCCAAATCCCTGAGAAGTGAAAGTTCCTTCTCATCTTTGGCCAGGATTCGAAGAACCTGGTCTCTGGGAAAAACAAAAAACAAAAACAAACAAACAAACAAACAAAAACACAATCAGGGCAGAAGAAGGTGCAGAGAAGGATTCTTAGAAGACCGGGAGGAACAACAGGACCCTGAGGCTGCTTTGTGCAGAAAGGCCTCATAGCTCTGGGAGGACACAATCCGTCAGCCTAGAACTGCTGGTCTCTCCAGCCCCACTGACAAACCATGCAAGGGACTAAATAAAACCCGTCAGTGCTACTGATGAACCTAAAGCCACGATAAGGGAAGGAGGATGGGAAAGAAATAGAGGGCGCAGGGTGTGTGGACATTTGAATAGAACTAAGGAACAAAAGGGAAAAAGAAGAGATCCAGGGGGTTGAGGAGACCAATGGAGGCTCCAAGCGATCTTCATATAGAGCCCTAGAAAAGCTCTGAACACCTAATCTTTCTACAGCTCAGTTTGCTCATCAATCAAATGGAGTTAATCATACCTTCTCTCCCTACCTCTAGGGATCTTGGGGGGTATAGCATGAAATAACTTCATGAAATTGACTTCATAAGGACTGTAGAATGGAATGTTTCAAATGGCATGGAAGGGGAGAGACCAGACAGGCTCCAGCAGGAGGTTGGCTCCCTCTCTGACTATCTCTGAGACAGAAGACTTTGAGCCCCATTTCTGTGCTATGTCTCCTCTTCTCCACCATGGAGAAAGTATGGGGTATCTACCTCCTGGGATCTTTGGGAAGCTCACAAACATGTCCACAGAGGGTCTGGCATATAACACCAGAACTTCCTGTTATTCAAAGGACGATAGTACCACATCCATTTTTGGTAGTACACAGGCTTTAAGGAATTACTAACTTCTTTAGGAATGCAAGGAATGGGACTGCCCTGCAGCCCAGCAGTTAGGCACTGGGTAGAGAAAGCTGAGTCCACATGACCAACCAAGGGTTGGGTCCCAGCCCCATCAGCTTCACCATGGACACACATATGTCTGCCCAAGAACCTGACAAGATGGAGAATTGGAGGCAAGAGGATAGCAGTAGGACCAGGACCCATTGGGGAGATTTCTCTCTCTCTTTATTATACACAAGCACATATACACATACTCTGATATTAAAATTAATAAATAAAAACAATATGAAGAAAGCTATCAACCCTTCATCTATAAAGAATTACCTATATAAAAATGGTAACAAGTCATTTCAGAGGATTCTTGGAGTCCTAAAAGTTTACCCCAGGCCCCCAAATAAAAACTCTGGATCCAGGGAGGGACAATTACACAGCAAGTGGCTGGCCCTAGAGTACCAGAGTGGGAAACACTGGAGCTGGAAGTGGGTGAAGGATAGAAACCCACGTCCCAATTTCTCACCTTTGGCTCAGGTCTACCTGGAAGGCCACCTTCTCACCAACACACAGTCCCCTCACTCCCGCCAGTCCTCCCTTCCACTGTGGGGCAGCCACTCACCCTGTGAAATTCATCTGGCCCATAGCTGCTGCCAAGATAAAGCAGCAGACCAGGAGTGTTCGCTGGTCCACAGAGAGCAGCCCAGGGCCTGTCCCATCTCCAGGAGTGTCCTGCATGCTTCTTCCTCCAGGCGAGCTTCAAGGGTTTTCCTCATGCACAGGCATGGCCTATGCCTCAGGAGAGCACAACACCTAAAGGCCGGTGGACCCGGCCTGAGAATGGATATTAGGCTCTCTCTAGGGAGACCCAGCATGTGACTCCCACATGCCAGGCCTTGGGAGAGCAAAGGCCACCCCTCCCCCGTATGGGTCTCCTCTCTGACAAAGGGGAGAAGGAAGAGAGAAAAGGGAAAACCAAGCCCTTAGCTTTATTTCCTCTCTATGGTTTGCTCGCCCAGTCTCTTAGGAGCATCAGATGATCCATCTCCAGAGCAAGATGGAGGTTGCTAGTACCCTGAAATGCCACTCTTTTCCCCCCTCCTCTATGGAATCTTCTCTTTGGCTCTCCTCCCTCCCAACCCACTCACACTTTCCCTGGCCATATCTTATACATACAGGTGTGGGCGCCATTGTAAGACTGTTGTGCTTAGAGACAGAACCGAGTGCTCAATTCCTGTCTCAAAGATCTGGGGCAGCTGACCTAATCACTCTACATCTCAGCTTACTTTTTAGTCAAAGGGGTTAATAATACCTCCCCTCCCTACCTCACAGGGTTTTGGGGGCTATTAGATGAGACAACTTGGGTGAATTGGCTTGGCAAAGCCTGTGAAATGTAAAAATATTATTATTTCCAAAGAATTAACTCTTAGTCAATTAATCTTAATCAATTAACTCTCAGACTTATATTTTAGGTCAATACTTGCTTGCAGTGGGGATAATGGGAAGAGAGTGGATGGGGAACAAAGGAATATATATCATAGTATGAGAAGGAATTCAGTCAAGATTCCCTTTCTCTATCATCAGGTAGTCATTTATTCTGAGACAGGCAATGCTAGACATTAAGGCTACTGTAGTCATTATCCTAGTTCTCAACACACAGCAGAGTCAGTTTCTCAGCCCTACTCAGTCCCCTTTATAGCCTGAGAATGGTAGGAATTAAGCAGAGGCCAACACACAAAGCAGCCATATTGGAAGGATAAAGACAAAGATGATGCCTGAATGGTAAATGATGAGTCTAACAGAAAATCCACAGGAGGTGGGGAAAAAAGCAGAAATGAAATCCAACAAAGTTGTTGAGCAGAGGACATCAACAAAAGGCCACTTAACTGTCACCAGCGATTTTCAGAAACCTCCCTCCCCAGCCATACTTTCCCAGGATGGCCAATTAACTGGTCATGTGTGCAGAGAGGGGAGCTCTTTCACTGACTGAATGCCTTGCTCCCTCCCCCGCACTGCCCACCCTCCTTCGCTATTTCATGGTTCAGCTGCTCAGACACGCCAAACTCTCCTAGAACACTGGCTTTGGGAGCTCTCAGACAGAAACATTAGCAAAGGGTTTAAGGACCTAGAAAAGAAAGCAATTATGCTCTTCACCCAAGTAACATTCAGCTTTAGTAGCGATGGGAATAAAAGAACAGCTCAGATATTCCAAAGAAAAATGTGAAGATGGTGCTAGTCACCGAAAGTGACCAGCATCCTCTTGTTCAAAAGCATCATTTAAGTCACTGATAAGGAACCAACTATTCCTGTACTTGGTTTAGGGGTAGAGAAACAGAGAGAGAGAGAGAGAAAGAAAAAGAGAATTGAGGGTAAGAATTCTTCGGAATTCTATGGCACCACTTCCAATAGAACTTTCTGTGATAATAGAAATGTTCTATGTCCACATTGCCCAATAGGAAATGTGGCTAGTGTGACTAAGGAATTGAAGTTTAATTTTAATTCATTTAAATCACTACATGCGGCTAATGGCTAACATGATGGACAGCAGAGCTCTGGGGGAACTCATTGACCCTAAAATCACCACCTCCATTGGCTGATTTTGAAGCTGAGACATGTTGTTGTGCTTTACCTAAAACCTCATCTTGGCCTCTAATTCATAATTACTCACCTAATTATTTACCCAGTAAGTGTCTCCTGAACACCTACTATGTGCCATAGACTTGCTGCGGTCTGGGAGTAAAATGTACAGTCATACAGACATGGCCTTTCCATTTCTTACAGGGTAAGGAGACAATTCATTTCAAGAGCATACTGGTAAATGTAAAAATATGGCTGCCATGCGTGCTACAGGGGGAAAGTATGTTGAGAGAGGTACGTAAAAACAGGTAAGGACTCCATGTAGACTCAAGCAAGGCTTCCCCAAAGGAATTGTATTGGGGGACTTCTATTTCCTACTGGTGGGTGGGTTAGAGGCTTAGACACTCCTGCCCAAATGAAGCAACTCAAATTTCAAGATAAAATGGTTTTTAATAACAGCTTTTTAAATGCGTCAATGGGTTGACCCAAAAATAAGAATCAACAGATCCCCAAAAAGAAATAACAACCAGACAGATACCTGCAAGGTAACAACCTCCTGAGGGTTTCTAGAACCCCAGAGTTCTTGGTTTTCCTCCTAGAAGAGTGTACCCTGCATGGAAGATCGTTTCTCTTCAGCTTGAAGTCTTTTAAAACTTTCCTTTAGCCAAGGTCTCTGTTTTTATTTACTTTGCCCCCATTCTCCTCCCCCCTTAATTGAGTTATTTATTTCATGAGAGAAAAAGACAGAGAAATAGGCACCCTCAACATGAATTCACACCACAATCATCCCCATAGCCTTCCCATCCAGTCAGGACCACAGTGCTTAGGAAGACCTGAGAATTGAACCCTGGTCTTCAAATGGCTCCAACATTGCAGAAAGCACACTAATACTGCATCACCATACTGGCCCTATGTCGCCGCTATTCTTCAAAGAGTTTTTTTTACCAGGTATATATTCTAGGTGGATTATTGTTTTTCTCTTAGCACATTGAAAATATTATCTGAGTCTTCTGGCTCCCATCTTGGCTGTTCAGAGGTAGCCAGTTACTTATTTGTTCTATAGTAGGTGGTCTTTTTATTCCTGGTTGCTTTGAAGATCTCCTCTTTGATGTCTTTGATGTTCCACAGTTTCATTATCATGTACTCTTCAGGTACAGCATAATACACTGAGGTAAAAATTTCTTTTGTTTTTTCCTGCTTGAAAATCATTTGGATTCTTGTAGCTGTGTATTGCTTTCTTTCCACTATTTTCAAATTTTCTCCACCATTATGTTTTGTTTTTTTTTTAAATAGTACCTCTTTCTCACTCTGTTACCTTCATCTACAACTTTTGATGTTGGATCTTCTTACTCTATGCTTTGAGACTTTTATCCATGCGCTTGTATTTCCTTTTCACTGTCTCTCTGGGCTACATCCTGGATAATTTATCTGTATCAAATATTTGGGAATTTTATTCCAATTAATTGATTCTCTCACCAACTGAATTTAATCTGTAACTTAATCCATCTGCAAAATTTTACATTTCAATTGCTACTGTTCACTAATTCTGAAACAATTTTTTCCAATTTTAACATCTCTGAAATTAGGATGTTCTTACAATTGGTGACATCTTACAATGATAAATTGGCAGTGGTTTTTCTTTTATTTTTTAAGTCTTTTTTAAATTTTTCTTTCAAGAGAAAGAGAAAAAGAAAAGAACCTTTGACAGGGTCTGGTTATGCTGCACTCCTCCCTTCAACCTTCTAGCCAGCAAGAATCATGAGTGGTTGCACACAGGCACTCTCATCAAAAAAAGAAGGGATAGAATGAGAGATTTTTTAAAAAAGATTTTGTTGTGATTACAGGCATGCTACCTAATTGGACAGCAGAGTTCTGGGGGAACTCATTGACCCTAAAATCACCACCTCCATTGGCTGATTTTGAAGCTGAGACACATTGCCGTGCTTGACCTAAAACCTCATCTTGGCTTCTCACTCATAATTACTTACCTAATCACCCAGCTCAACCTGTTCAAGTTGGTGTAGGATCCAAACCAGGACTTTCCATGTAGCCCCAGCCTCATGCACCTGGCTCTACTACTTGTACCACTGTGGCTGAAATTAATTGGCAGTGTGTTTTTGTTTGTTTTATTGCCAGAGGGTATGTGTGCTTGCTAGATAGAGGGGGGAAAACTCTCAATGGGGCATGGTCATAACACAATCCTTTCTCCTCTATTTCTCTATATTATCAGGAACCCAGTGATGTTTTTCAAGTTTCTAGAGCTGGGACTCTAACCATGGTTGGCCATGTAGATCTGGCTCCCTTGACTCAGTCCTTAACCACCGCACTACATGGCCAGCCTGATGAACAGTGCTTTTGGTGACTAGAGTAACAACTAAAAGAATAGGTACAGAGCATATAAATTCCATAAAACTATAGCACATCTACTAATCAATCCTGTTTTATAGTCAACATAATACAGTATTCATTTTTCATCTTTAGAAGTTCTATCTAATTCTCTGTCAAGTCCAAATGACTTTAATTTATCTATTTTAGAAATTAATGTTTCTTTTTTCTTTCTTTCTTTTTTTTTTAAGTTTTTTGCAATATGGCACATGCACTCACCAGAGAGTGAGAGAAAGTGAGAAGTCACAACCCCAAGGTAAATGACCACACCACAATCCTATCTCCTCCGTTCTCCTCTTGGGATTTTGGGCACTCATACACATGTACCCAGCATAATTTTTAAGCTGCCTGGTCTGGGACTCAAACCACAGTTGGTCTTGTGGGAGTCCAGCACCTTACCCACCACACTACCTGCTGACCCCATTCTTGTTTGTTTCTTTAAACTTGCAAAACCAGTTTTAAAATACTGTGTCAGATAATTACAATACCTGAAGTCTTTGTAAGTCTACTTCTGTGTATGATTTCTGCTGGTTCTCACTCATGGTGCATTGTTTTCTTGTGTTATTTACCTGTGATCCAATCATTTTCTTGGAATATTTATCTGTAAAAATCTTTTGAGGCCTGAGTTGAAGCTGAGTAACTCCAGAGAAGATTTGCATTTACTTCTGTGAGTTGCTTAGGGGTCAACCTGAGATCCTTTAAATATTTGTTCAAGTTTTTATTGTTTTTTTGTTTTTGTTTTGTTTTGTTTTTTTGTTTTTTGTTTTTTTGCTGTTGTTCTGTTTTTGGACTGCATAAGCTTATACCACAAACTCTTGTGAGGGCTTACTTGTGGTTATGAATTCTCAGAGAATATTTTCCCCAGGATCACCCATTACATAGACTTTAAGTCCTGGAAGATAATAGCATATTGTTTGCAAACAGAGTTAAAGTGTTTTAAGGTCCTGGACTTTTTGGGAGAAATGATAAATACTGACAATTTTTTAGAGTTTGGTAAGTGTGCATTTTCAAATAGCTAAGCTAGCAATTAAAAGAATAGACACAGAATATATAGCTTCCAAATGGGTAGAAAGTAAAAAGATGAAATAAAAAGTGGAAAAAATAAAAATAAACCAGTGAGAAAGAAAGATTTTAGCACCAATTGATGTCTTGGTGGTTGAGGCAGCTGGATCCCACATGGTCAACTCATTGTTGAGCCCCAGACCCAGCAGCTTGGAAAGCATGCTAGGCAAGAGGGAGAATTGTGGCATGGCTATCACCCCTGGGGGGTGCCTTCTTACTTTCTCTCTCTGTCTCTCTCCACCATTTATTTATGTCCACAAACGATGTATTATTTAGAAATATGTACGTGCATGACAAGTATAAGGGGAAAAAGGACATTAATAGTGCAGATTAGTTTTGTATGGAGAAGGAAAGGGAGAGCATCTGAGGGGTTCCTATAGGATGCTGGGGTAATGGTGAAGATCCTTCTTTAAAGCAGCAGTCTCATTCCCCCTCTTCTTTCTACATCTTATTCTCCAGTAACCACCATGTTGACTTTGTTAGCCCTAGTATTCACATTCATAAATACAGACAAACTGCATTTGTTGCTTCCTGATTTTTCAGTTCTAGGCATTTTTTATTGCTTTCTCACTATGAAAAATAAGAATTTAGTTTTCCCATATTTATTTTAAAATATGTTTTATTTTAAGGTATATCATATATACTAGAGCCTGGATAAAATTTATATGGTCTGTTAAAAATAAAATACATATCTTACCTACTACTCATGTGAAGAACAAGAATACAAGGTCTTTAAAAAGTTCATGAGAGGCCAACAGGTGGCATTATAGTTAAAGCACTAGACTCCCACATGGCTGACCAATGCCCTTAACCACTACACCACCTGCCAACCCTGATATGACCAATCTTATAGAACTATTTGACTCTTTTTTTTTTTTTGAGAGGTTTTTGCCATAGGGCGCGTGCGCTTGCCAGACAGACAGAGAGAGACAGAGAGACAGAAAGCAATAAATCACCCCCCAGGGGGGATGACCACACCGCAATCCTTTCTCCATTCACCTCTCAGGATCTTGGGCACACACGCACATGCGCCTGGAGTGAGTTTTAAGCCACCAGGTCCGGGACCCAAACCACGGTCGACTACATGGGAGTCCAGCGACATAGCCATTACGCTAATTGCTGGCCCCTCCACTATTTGACTCTTTAAGTGATGTACTGCATAGCTTATTTCAATAAAAGTGGTTTAAGAGTGGCATTTGATATCTAGAGTAGTCAAATTCTTAGCAACAGAAAGTAGAATGGTGGTTGCCACAGGTCAAAAGGTAGGTAGGTTCAAATGGAAAACTGGTATTTAATGGGTATTGTTTCGGTTTGGGAAGATGAACAAGTTTTGCAGATGGATAGTGGTGATGGTTGCATTCCAACATGAGTGGACTTAATGCCACCAAACTATATGCTTAAAAACAGTCAAGTACCAGGACCAGCAGATGGCATCCATTGCTGGATGCCCACGTAGTCGGCCACGGTTCAAGTACCAGGCCTGACGACTTAAAACTCACGCCTGATGTGTGTGCATTAATGCCCACAATCCCTAGAGGAGAATGGAGAAGGGATTGCAGTGTGACCATCCCCCCTCCCCAGGGGTGATTTCTCGCTTTCTATCTCTCATTCTCTCTCTGTCTCTCTGGCAAGTGCACACACCCTATAGCAAAAATTCTCTAAAAAAAAAACTTTGGAAAAAAAAAAAAAAGCAGTCAAGTGCCAGGTCCATGTCCTGGTAGTTGAGGCAGCCAGATTCCATACAGCCAACCACCCTGTTCAAATCCTGACCTCTCTGGCTTGAAATATATGCTGTCAGTGTGCAGGTGTACACATGCTCAAAATCTCCAAAGGAGAGATGGAAGAGAAGGTTGCGGCATGACCATGCCCCAGGATAGGTGGTTTTCTCCATCTCTCACTCTCTCTGACACACGCATGCACCCTCTTGCCAAACAATAACAACAACAACAACAAAATCAAAATGGTATATTTTATATTATGTATATTTTACCATACTCACAAATTAAATGTCCCCCTCCAAAAAAAAAAAAGAGTGACATTTGAGTTAAGTTAGGCAAGATGTGAAGGAGTTAACTAGCCAAAGCAGGGTGGTAAGGCCACTGGAAATCTGATTCTTGCTCTGAATCCCTTCCTCATTAAGGTTTAATTCCCACTTCTGGCTGGGGACCACCCTGAGGGTCTCCAGAGATCACATGATATGCTCCAACATTCACAAATAAACCTCCCAATCTAAATTATGTTTAAGCTCCACAAGTCCCCTTCAGGCACTTGATGGAAATAAATATATCAGATGTAGTCTTTAAAAAAAAAAAAAAAAGAAAAAACAGAAAAACAGGAGCATGGTCATTCATATTCCAAAAAGACTCCTTGATTAACAAGAGGCTTTACCACAGTTTCTTCACATAGAAGCTCCCCTGGTACACTCCAAATGTGATTTAATTAACAAAAAACAGGCTGATTCCACCTTTCAGAAATAAGCTAAATAAATACTTTCAGAGGAAATGGAATATTAAAAATCCACGGAAAAAGTGACCTACCAAAAGGTGGGTTAATATTGCTCTAGCCAAAAGGTTCTAACCCAACTTCCCCGGTCAAAATCCCACAGTGGGGCCACCATCCCCTGGGGGAAACCATGTCTCCCCATTTGAGCTAATTATGCCTTGTGCCTCCCTCCAGCATCACACCAGATATTCTGTTTTTAGTGTTTCTTTTTTCTTTTATTCGTGATAGAATATACGTGCTCATAGCAAGAGAATGAGAGAGAGTGAGAGAACAGATGATCGCCCTCCAAGGATCCGGTCACCCCCCCAATCCCCTTACTCCGGTCCTCCAGCCCATTGCATCTTGGGCACTCATATGCATGCCTAGCATGCTTCAGGCTGACCAGGCCAGAGATTTGAACTATAGCTGCCATGTGGAATCAGGCGTCCCTCAAGCAACACACTGGCACTGTGTCATGAAGCCACCGCATAGATTCTAATTCCTTATAGATATTTGCTACCATGAAACAAACTCCTTGTGCTCTAGGGCTGTCATATTCATCTGTGACCCTAGGGCAGTGGGGCAGTGGGGCAGTAGGGCTGCTGCATGGGTGCTAAAAGATCTCTCTGTATCTCTGGCAAGCGCATGTGCCCTAGAGCAAAAAGTTCACAAAAGAAGAATTACCAGAGAAATTTAAACATGAGCACAAGTTAATTAGAGCTCAAAGACAGTGACCGAGAAAGATTAGGTGAGACCTGAGCAGGTTTTCAGGTTGGAACCTCAGGAGGGTCTCTTTTTATGGTCTTGATCCTAGGGGAAGAGGAAGGATAAACTACAAGCTCAGTCCGGGTGAAGGGGGCAAGCAAGGGTGGTGCTGGTCAGTTTTTCAGGAATGCAGGGATTACCACAGGGATTGCTAGGGGTGGCGCCAGAGGGAGGTCTGGAAAGTCTGTTTACCCTGTTGTAAAAGCTTATCTCGAGGTCTTTATCCTGGGTCCTTTCATTAACCAGAGCAAGTTTACTTATTTCCTTGGGTGAGGCTCATCTGAGGCCCTCTTTATTAACCTTTGGTTTGCCTGTTTTCTTAGGAACTCTCCACACCCAGGAACTCTGTTTACACCCAGACCATTGCCTAAGACTGTCCGCTGATCAATCTGCCCGTTTACTCGTTTGAATGACTTCCTGAAGCTCGGGGGAATAAGCCTTGCTTCTTAGGCCTAGGCGCTTGCCTGGCCTGTGCACTCAGCTCTGCATCTGCTCAAAGTTCTGGCATCTTCACTCTGACCTGCCCCTCGTTTTCGGTCCCTGAGTCCCATTCTCACCCCCATAGTCAGTGACCTCAACTGGTATCATCCTCCAACACTAGGGACTTGCCTTCCCCTCCTCCAGGTCTGATGACCTTCTCCAAACCTAGGCCTAGAGGTTAATGACAGGCCCTTGAGCTACCCTCGGCCACTTGGCTGTATCCAACCAGGAAACTGGCTGGCCCCTCAACTGTACCACACCTGTCTCCTTCCCCTTCGCCCTGTGCTACCACCTACCAACAGAGCTCCAGCTCCATCCTTCGGTGCTACAGGCCTCACCACCAGTTATTGGTTTGAACACCCTACACCCAGCTAGTAACCACCCTGAGGTGCCCAAGACCACAGGCCAAGACCTATTTCCAACCAGATGGTGGGTTGGAAGCCATGATGGAGAAGTCACTTCTTGTTCTAAAGAAGAAGGGCACCTACAGGCCAAAGTGTGCAGCTCTAGCCAAGACCTGCCCCGTGGGCATAGAAAGCCACCTGCACAACCCTGTGAGTTGTTCACAAAGTCCCTGCTGTGTAGAGGAAAGGCAAAGGCAACCCTCACACTTCCCCTGCTCAGCAGCCAGCAAACTTTTTTCTGCAAAGGGTCAAAGAGTATTTTAGGTTTGGGAGCCATGAGGTAAAACAGGGCACCTATTGTCACTTGGAAGTGTTTTTTGCATTTCAAAAAAAATTGTAACGTGAAAACTATGCTTACTAGTGGGCTGGATCTGACCTGCAGGCTATAATGTGCCTGCCTTGGTCTTGTTGAAGAGGCAAGCATTCATCTAGGAGGCTATTCAAAACAATTAGAGAGCTCAAGGTAAACCAGAGACAAGAGTTAGAGACAGTCTTTAATCAAACCCCTGATCTCAAAAGGGAGCCAGTAAAAAAAGACATTATTAAGATTTCCATGCTTTTGGGGCCAGCATGTGATGTGGTGGTTAAGGGTGCTAGACTTCCACATGACTGACCACGGTTTGAGTCCCAGACCTGGAGGCTTGCTTTCTCACTTTTTCTTCTCTCTCTCACTCTGGTCAAATTAAAATAAATAAATAAATACAGCTAAATAAAATAACTTTAAAAAAAGGTTTTCATTCTTTTAATCTCATTCTTTTTTTATTTCAGTTTTTGTTTTGAAATATATGAGTACTTATACATAATTTTTAAATATGTAATTGCAAATGTTGGTGTGACATGCTCAATTTTTCTTAATGATAGGGTTGTAGGATAAAAAGAATCTGAAGAATGTTGGCCTAATGACCTCATATCAGTTTATTTTAAAAAGCTTCACGCTGTCATGCCTTTGTTTCTACAAAAGAGCTTTTTTAAAAAGCTCATGGAAATGGAATTAAAGTACAAGTTTCTTTTCTTGGTGGAAAAAAAAAAGGCCTATGCCTAGTTTTTTCATCATATACATTTTCTATGAACTTTTGAAGATTCCCCCCCATGTAATTATCTCTTCTCTTACATAGTAATAATCTGATTTTTTAATTTAAATTTATTTATATCAATGTTGATCAATATCAGAGAATTTCAATGCATTATGGGGAAAAAAATGCTGCTTATTGAGCACTGCTATGGACAAGGTTCTGTCATTGGGACCTGGTGTCTGGTTGAGATATTGAGTTCTTGCCACTCATTTTTGTCCTGTAGTCAGAATCGCCCTCCCCCAAGGCGAGCCTTTGAATAAAGAACTTTCAAACTACTGTTCTGTCCTCATTGACTTCAGGCTGGGTTTAACTCGCATGAATTATGTAGTAATACCTTATGTGCTGAACTCAGTCTCTTGTACAACAGCCAGCCAATTTTGAGCAGCAACACTGGAAGGGTGGCAAGTTGCAGGGAGGAGATGCCACCTGCCAATTAAGCTCTTCACCTTACTTGCCTTCATCTAAACAGCAGTCAGTGTTTGTGCATGTTTCATCCATGTTTAATAAAAATCAGTGGAAGATGAAAAACCAGAATTACTGGTGTCGGTGATCCAACAGTTGAGATAAAGTTGATACAATTGATATGATACACTGGAAGTAAATTGTTAGCCTCTCTTGGACAGTCACTGGATTAGCTCAGATATCTGAGTATTGATTTGGGTAGAAAAAAAAGAGAAAACTATAAAAGATGTAGTCGAGAGCTGGGAGGGCAAGCCAAGGTGGTGTTAACCCAGAGTTCCACAAATGCTGAAGCCACACGGGAAGTTCCTGGGTTGGGTCCCTGTATGTACTGGGTGCACAGGTGTGTGCCTATGATCCTGACTGGCTCAGACTGGGGATGGATTATCCACCAGGACCCTGCTGATCAGAGATTTTACCCTACTACAAGCAAACAAGTTATTTCTCCACAGTTTCATGGATGCCAGCAGAAGACACAAAAACCCTGGGTCACAGACAAAGAACTGTTACTCATGACAATATCGGCATTTGTGCCTATTCTCTGAGTCCCATTTTCCATGGGCACAGGTAGCAGGTTAAATTACAGGAAAGTAACCCTAAATATGGAGAGTCTGAATCCTTTAACACTTTTATTTATTATTATTTTTTAAAGAGAGATTTTTGCTATAGGGTGCACACACTCTCTGGAAAGACAAAGACAAAAAGTGAGAAATCACTCCCCCACACACACCCAGGGAGATTGCCATGCCAGAATCCCTTCTCCTCCATTTTCCTCTTGGGGTTTTGGGCACACACGCACATGCACCTGGCATGAGTTTGAAGCTGCAGGGTCCAGGACTCGAACCGCAGTTGACAACATGTGAGTCCAGCGATATTACCATTATACCATATGCTGGTCCCTCCAATTTCTATACTTTTAAATTTGATAAGTTTTTAAAGTTTTATTTTATTTTGTTTTTTCTCAGGATGTCATTTCTACTTAGTAGCTACTCCACATGAGCTTTAGAAGAATGAGTATTCCATCATTGTTGGAGGGAGTATCTGTAAGTGTCTAAGTGTCTATTAGATCAGGTTGATTGATGATACTGTTCATGTCAACTCTATTCTTACTGATGTGCTTCACTTATATATACATTACTGAAAGAGGAAATTTTTTGTGGAGAGGTTTTTGCTATAGGGCACATGCGCTCACCAAAAAGAGAGAGACAGAGAGACAGAAAGCAAGAAATCACCCTCCGGGGGGATGGCCATGCCACAATCCCTTCTCCTTCATTCTCCTTTCAGGATCTTGGCATGCACGCACACACACCCAGTGTGAGTTTAAGCCTCCGGGTCCAGGACTCGATCTGCAGTCAACCACATGGGAGTCCAGCAATGTAGCCATTATGCCATCTGTTGGTCCCTGAAAGAGGGAATTTAAGGTCTTCAGCTATAGTAGTGAATATCTTTTTCTCTTTGTAGTTTTGCCGCATGTACTATGACACTGTGATGTTAGGCTCATAGACGGTAAGGGTTGTTATAGCTTCTTGGAGAATTAAGCCATTTATTATCATGGAATACCCCTTTTTATCCCTGATGACCTTCCTTTTCCTGCCGTCTGCTTTTTCTGAAATTAAGATGACTACTACAACTTTCTTTTGATTCATGTTAGCCTGGAATAGCTTTCTCCATTCCTTCACTTTGAACATATCTTAGTCTTTATATTTAAAGTGGGTTTCCACTTTAATTACTTTTCCCAAGCAAGTTTTTTTCTTCCATAACTAAAGGAGACATGGAGAGAGAAGGTGAGAGAAGGAGCAGGAGAGAAAGTGCCCCCCAGTGGGACCTGGTCACACCACAATCCTTTTTCCTCCATTCCTTCATCCCTTCTGGGTCTTGGGCACACACATACACATGCCCAGCATATTTTTCAAGCCACCCGAACTGAGATTGAAATCCGTCTGCCATATGGGATCAGGCTCCCTATGCACAGAGCTTAATACGGTGCTTCAGGGCTAATCCTCATCTTTTTCTTTTAAGTTTATGTATTTCTTCTGAGAGAGAAAGGCCCTAACAGGGTCCTGATAATATGACCCACCTAGGCCTCAACCAGCCCTAGATCACAGGCACACAAATGCCCAGCACATTCACAGACATCTCCAGATGCAAACCCAGGACCTCACAGAACATCACAATTTACTGCTGCATGACCATCCAGCCCCATCAATGCAGATTCTGAGTCCATAGATCTGGAGTGTGGCCAGAGATTCTGTTCCCAACAAGCTCCCTGGTATTTCCAGATGTTGCATTCCACCTAGAGCAGCAATGCTCTGGCTCCCTGGGAATAGTCTGTTTCTTATAATCCATGGCTAATCCTAGACTGTCATACTTCAGGCTTTCTATACATGTTCAGGAATTCATCACATCTGACAGGAGAAGATATCCTGACTCTGGAAGATGGTTGTTACAGTAAGAGTGAGGCCTATCCTTTCCCAGGATCACCAGCATACCCTAGGTGTTGAGAGCATGAGAAGTTTGAGAGATGCTTCAGGGTGCTGGAAAACAGATTTAGAACGCAAGACCATTGAGTCCTGAGCTAACAGCTTTACTCTGAAACTTGCCTCGCTCAAATATTGGTAGAAGCAGCTGGGGAAGGGTCTACAAATTTGGATATCTAAATACTCATAATATCAGAAAAATAAAGGTAAAATCTTGGTATTGCTAGAATAAAAGTTCCATCTAGTATGAGCAACCCAGAAAAACATAGATCAACTTGTTTTTATTTCTCCTTCTATTGACTAGAAGGGAAAACATCTCTGGGTCTCCTCTTCCCCATCTCCTGCTTAATTTCCAAAGGTCATGATATCATTGGTCTCTGAGACAGTAGAGCTGGCATCTGGACCCTTCCACCTCTCTGTAGCACTGGCAGAGAGTGGGAGAGAAGCACGGCCAGTGCTACTCATTAACAAGCCTACCCTTAGCCTTGCAATTTGTCTACTTTTCAGCTTGAATGAATATCTTTCTGCTACGAGTCCTTCATTTGTTTTGCAGAGTAAACAGAAGACTCTTAGATAGGAACCGGGTGCCAGAGAGCCCCATGGACATACAGAGACATGCCTGTTAAATACTGATCCTATTGATGGCCCCGGAGTAGGAAGGGAAGAGAAAGACCTGATGCCTTCTTCTTTGACATCCTCCTTAACCAAGTTAACCTGTCCACCCACCAGCTACCTCTGGGAGCATTTTAGAAATATCACTTTTCAGTGATAAGATAGGTCACCCTTTCCCACCAGGCCTGGCAGCTCCAAGCTTTCTAATACAGATTTGCTGAAATTGAAGCTTTTCCTGACCTCTGAGTTTCTTAACATTCATCAGCAGAAAACAATGTCAGGGTAAGGGGGGACTCAGAGCTGAGGGAAGAAGACTACCACAGCCAGTCAGTGAAGTGGAAAGAAGACACTGGGCTTTTTTTGCATCTGATGTAAAATTGATAGCACTGTAGGTTTTATTTAATGTATCTTTATGATGCAACATCATGTACTTAGGTGCTAGGGATGCAAAATACATAAAACATTGACCCTGCTCATGAAAGACTTAGAAATCTAAAGCCTGGATGAATGATTTTTCTAAAGGTATGCCAAATTGGTTTTGCGTTTTATTTTGTTTTAAAGTTTGTTTCTTTCACGAGTAAAAGAAACAGAGAGAGAGGCAGAGACAGAGTGACAGTACCACAATCCACCCCTGCTACATCCGGTCCTGTGATCACGGGCATGCGCACGTCCTGTGTACTCACGGAGGTCTCTAAATGCAAACTGGAACCTTCCCAGGTGAGTCAGTTTCAGAGAGGGTTGCATTTAACTGCCACACCACCATCTGACCCCTCCAGATTATCTAAATACTCATAATACATGTATTGCTTGCTGAGAGAACTGGACATTTTGTCATATGAGGTTGGAGAGGCTAATAGTTTAAGTTGGGGGTAGGTGAGTTTGTGAAAAGACATAAAATTCCCAAAATATACAGAGACGTCAGCCCATTCCAGGTGTTTC